CCTGTCACTGAATACTGTATACAGCATTACGCTTACCCTGAATATACAGTATTCAAAACTGTCACTGTCTACAGCAGTCTGCACACAGTCCACAGTTCACAGCTGGGCTTTGTAAGGACTGGGTGAGCCCTCTCACCTTTCTGGGAGCTTGCCAGGGTGCCGGAGTCCTTGCCGAAGGTCGCATTGCTCACATCACTCAGGGTGAGACCTGGGGGTGGCGGGAGGCAGAGCATCACAGCGGACCCCCGACAGCCGGCCCCTCCCCTCAGCCCCCCGATTCCCCGCGTTCTCGAGTGCTACTGCGCGGGCGGGCGTGATCACCTGTGAGCCGGGGCAGGGTGGCACGGTTGGGCTTGGGTTTGAGAGGGGGCCGGGCGGTGGTCCTCTCCAGGGTGTTGCCCCGGTTCCTCCGGGCACTGGAGCGGCGCAGGGGGCGCCCCGTTTCCGGGAGCTTCTGGATGAACTTCTTCTCCACGTACTTGGAGCGAATCCACGACTCCTTCTCTTGCCTGAGAGGGGGGGGCAGACAGATGCACAGCAGGGGAAAAGAAAGAGACAAGAGGAAGAGATCAGAAAGGGCAGCACTACCCTGCAACCCGCCGATTTATTTAAGAAGCTAAATCTGCATTCAAGTCTGAGAACAGGAGGCACTTCTTTACACGCAGAGATGTGGGAGCTGGGAACGAGCTACCCAGCCATGTTGCTGGAGTCGATACTCTGGCTTCTTTCAGGTAACAGCAGGGCGAGACCCTTGGATCAATGAGCTACTAACAAACCCAATGGGATAGATGGGCTGAGTGGCCTCCTCTCGTTTATAATGGTTCTTGCGGTCCTCTGTGTGCTGGCTAAGCTAAAAATAGGGTCAGTGGATGTGACATCACAAGAGGCCAGGTTGATGCAACACTGAAGGCAACAGCAAACCTGGCTAACTGGTCACTCCAGACAGCCTTAAGTGTAAAATTGGCAGATTGGCAGAACGATCTGTGAACATTTAGAGCAGGGGTGTCCACCTCAATTGCTCAATTCCTGGAGGACCTCCTGGTGTCTACTTGGTTTTGTTCCATCTGAGCTCTCAGTTACAGGGCTCTTCTAATTATTTAATTAACAGCATAGTTTTAGCACATCTAACTAGATTCAAAGATGTTTTACAGGATAGTGTGCGTATTGAAGTGCTCCTTTTCAGGTACATACTGTGAAAGACCTTAAGACACATCCTAGAGTGATCCATCTAAATAGGAAAATAGTTAGGTTAATTGTTTTCATTGACTTCTCAGGTTGGATCAAAAAACCAGAAGACGTGACTCAGCATGACTTGACTCAACTCCGCGGGGCTGAGTCTGAGAGCCCTGGTCTGGTGGAACTGCTGCTGTAATATGTCACAGCTGCAATCGCCCCTGGTGGTGAACCAGCCCGCTATAAGAGGCATATTCTCATTTTCTGGGTTTGGCAGTGTACTATATATTAATAGAGCCAGGGCTGAGTGTCGTGCCCGGCATGTCACAGTCTTTAAAATCACAGACCGTGCTGCGATCAGGATCTGCATGCATGTGCTGAGGCACACTGCAACACAGAACCACGCGGTCATGCGCTGCGTTTCCCCTGGAGACGCTATTGTTTGATGCACGCCCTTACCTGCACAGCTTCCTGTCAGGCTTGGCAGGGGGAGAAAGACAGAGGAGAGAAGATGTTAGGAAGCAGGCAACCCGACTAAAAAGATAGAGACCCTCTGGGACACCCATTCCTGTAGCTAAACCCAGTGCCGGATTTCCCATGAGGCACTGTAGGCCACAGTGTAGGCACAGTACCTAGGGCCTGCGAACTTTTTAAGGGCCTACGAAGGAGGGAAACACTAGTGACTAATGAAAAACAGGCTGAAACGACACGCTTGTGATCAACTCTAGGTGCTGCAAGTCAGTAATCACGTGCTCTCTAGCGGCTGTTCTAGAAACTAGAAGTATGGAAGTGATGGTCACTCGACTCGCTCCATCAATCACGTGGTTCAGCATGAGAACGGCTGAAAGTGCATCATGTCAATCTAGGTCATTCAATTGGCATTGACCTCTCTTTTTGCACATTTTGGTGTGCAAGCAGCCATATCACCCTGCAACCCAGCTGGCAGCCCCACTGAAGCTCAGCAGGTGTGAGCCTGGTCAGTACCTGGATGGGAGACCTCCTGGGAAAAACTAAGGCTGCTGCTGGAAGAGGTGTTAGTGGGGCCAGCAGGGGGCGCTCACCCTGTGGTCTGTGTGGGTCCTAATGCCCCAGTATAATGACGGGGACACAATACTGTAAAAAAGGTGCCATCCTTCAGATGAGATGTAAAACCAAGGTCGCAGTGACGAAAGCTTTTGAGTGATCTTTTAATCATTGACAGGCTTTACACGCATGCAACAAACGTGTGTAACTTTATATCTAACGTATGTATTAAAAGGCACACCACTTCTAATTATGCAATTGATAAGTGACCTTCATGCAAACTGTGTTGAGTGTACTGTCCTGTATATACAGACAGTAATTATAAATAGGGAGGATGAAGAGCTGAAACAGCCCACGTCTGAACCGCAACATCCTTCTATGGGCCGTGGCGACACCGACTTTGATACTTGGGGATGAAAGGGAACTCAAGTAATTGGACACAAGAGGAAACATTCTCGCCGTGTGAAACACCCTCTCACGAGGGGCTAGATAGCAATCAGCACTGATGCTTCTCGGGCTCTATAATAAAACTGGGAATCAGTCCTGCTGTGAATTGCATGCCCTATTTAGATTAGCCCCTGTAGATTTCATCCGACATTTCCAATGGCTTTGCTGCGGCTTCTCCGTGTTTTTGATGTGTTTTACCATATCTCTCTAATCCTTACTTCAATTCGATCTGGATTTCACTGTGCCTTACCACTCTTCACTGTGTTTGTATCTTAGATTCACTGCTCTTTACTGCATTTTACTGTCTTTTTACCATGATTAGCCGTGTTTTACTGTGATTTTCCATTATTTCACTTTTTTTACTCACATTATTTTACTACAATCTTTTACTACACTTTACTCTGCTTTTATCCCAACTTCACTGTATTTTACTGCACTTCACTGAGATTTTAACCTGATTTCACTGTGCTGTACTGCACTTCACTGAGCTTTTAACCTGATTTTACTGGGCTTAACTGCACTTCACTGAGATTTTACCCTGATTTCACTGGGCTGTACTGCACTTCACTGAGATTTTACCCTGATTTCACAGGGCTGAACTGCACTTCACTGATCGTGCACCGTAACCTTGCTGTCAGACCTGGGACTGCTGGGATGTGGTTTCTTGAGGGTGATCTCGTCGATGCGTGCCTCGTAGATCCTGTTGATGGCAGTGTTCCCCAGCTCGCACATTAGCTGAGGGAGAGAGACAGAACCATGCCAGGTGAGTAGCACATCCACAGGTGAATATTCTGTCCCTCCTTACTGTACATCTTACAGAAAGGACTGGGAGGGCCAGAGAAGGTGCAAAAAAGCCCTTCTTAGACTTTTTTTTCACTAAAGGAAAAATAATAAATGAAGGTGCTCGACTGACTTTTAGGAAACAGGGTCCCCAAAATAGCACCTCTGCAGACTCCACCCACAAGTGTTGTCGTATGGGAGAAATGAGAGAGGGATCTCAACGCACTTGCACTGCAAAACGATCTCCCCCCACCCCTGCTCCCATGATGAGAGGAGGGCCCTTAGAAACTGTTGTCCCCACCTTGATCTCTTCACAATATGCCCATATAATGATGTATAGGTATAGGCTCTGTCTTGGCACTGAAATAAGAGAGGACACCTAGGGGGTTAACCCACTGGAAGCTGAAGAGAAATATCCCACAAAGCAGGACGGAGACGCCCGGAAAAGTACCTTCATCAGCTCTGGTTCCCAAGAGTCCAAAGTCAGAGAACGTACTTTGGAGAAGTGGACCCCTAAACTCCTGAGAAACAGAGAGGGACAGGAAGGAAGTGTCTGTTAAATGACTACTGGAATTATTCATGATAAAAGCAGTAGCAAAAGCACTTGCAGCAGTTCTCTTTATAGAAGTAACAGCAGTAGTAACAGGTAGTAACAGAAGCAGTAATAGGTAGTAACAGCACTTCAGTTAGTACTAGCTGTACTAACAGTAGTAGCAGCAGTAACAGCAGTACTAACAGTAGTAGCAGTAACAGCAGTAGTACTAAGAGTAGTAACAGGTAGTAGTAGCAGTAACAGCAGTAGTACTAAGAGTAGTAACAGATAATAGTAGCAGTAAAAGTAGTAGTACTAAGAGTAGTAATAGGTAGTAGCAGCAGCAGTAACAGCAGTACTGACAGTAGTATTAGGTTGTAGCAGCAGGAACAGTGGTACTTTTCAGTACCAGTAGTAATAGTGCAGAGGTGGTTGGAAGGTCTTATAGGACACTCTTATATCTCCAAACTGTAAACATCTGGAACCTTTGAGTGGTCATCAACTTAGTAAATGACATGGACTAATTAAATCAATATTGGTTAACTGTGGTCCTTGGGAACTACAGGCCATTGGTATTTACAGTTCAGTGGTGATCTCTACCCTACTTAACAGATCAAATGCTTCCGAGCTCACAACACAGTTGTCTCAGGACTTCAGAAATTCACAGTCACTGAGTGTTCTGGTGAACCTTCCTAGTTAAGGCTGTCCTGGACAGAGATTGTCCACCTCTGAAAGGGTGGATAGCAGTAGCTGTAACTGTACTCAGGGCAGAGCACGCTGTGGGGCCTACCTGTGGATGCCAGAGCAGGTGATGCACAGGGTGATGCCCAGGTTGATGCTGGCCCAGTCGGGATTGGGCTCCCCGCAGTCGCAGCACTGCCCGTTCCCAGGGATCTTCTGCACCTGCTCCAGGGCGGCCTGGTCCACGCTTGGTCTGGGCGGATCCAGCATGTTGCTCGTCGATAAGGTGCGGACCGGGCCCCTCTGAGACACCACACACCGAGGACAAGAGTCAGAGCAGCTCGTGTGGCACGTGTTCCCATCTGACCCCCGTGTCTTACAAGAGCTAGTACGCAGAGGTTCCAGCCTTGGTCCTGTGGGGCTTGTGCGTCTACTGGTCTTCATTCCAGCTAAGCTGCTTATTTCTGGTGCTAACTGATGACTTTCATTGACCTGCTCGCCCATCTAGACTCTTGTCGACTCATTAATGAGTGTCAGCCCTTTCTCCAAGTCTCTGAGCCGTCTCAACTTGCTACATAAGAGTGCTCTCCACGATTCCCATCTCGGTGGCTCTCAACAGGCGACCAGTTTCTGCTGAATGGATAGCGGGAGTGAAGTGGTCCCCCACGCTCCTAAAGAAGGCGCCTCTCCTTGTCTGGAGGCCCGGCTGGCCACTTGCCCAGCTGACGCACCTGAGCGAGGGCATGTCTGCTGCTTGGGGAGGGGCACAGAGCTCAAAGCAATTCTAAATCCCATTCAACTCCACGAGCTGTGGGCAGATTGAAAAAACAGGCTTCAAATAGAAAATGGAAATCAATCAGCCTGGGTTGAAGAACGTGGTTGGACCAAGAACTAGAGGACACAGGGAACCTCAAGCAACGTTTGTCTTCCCACTCCCTCCCCCCTGCTTCAAACCACATACAGCCCTCACAGAACCACAGGATAGTCAGCACCTGTGTAAAACACTACGTTGTCCAGCACTTCATCACGTGGTAGCCGTGCTGTCAACAACCCTACAGGCATGAGTAAATGAACCAGAAAGAAAGATGCTCCATCTGCACCGGCTGACTCCGAGATGTTCGTGTGTCTGTGTGCCTCACCGGGCCCTGTGGTTCCTCTCGCCGCTCCTGGAAGGCCGAGGCAATGCTGCTCTGCACAGCCAGGATCCAGGCCTGCTGCTGCCGGTCCGAGTCTGCCTGCAGCAGGCAGTTCCTGTTAACACAGCACCAAAGTCACTGCACACATTCTACAGCACAGGGAATCTTCAACATCAAGGGCAGAGACCCTTTACTGCACAGAGACACTGCCACTGCACAGCCACACTCTCACTGCGCAGAGACACCGTCACTGCACAGCTACACTCTCACTGCACAGCCACACTCTCACTGCACAGAGACCCTTCTACTGCACAGACACCGTCACTGCACAGCTACACTCTCACTGCGCAGAGACCCTTCTACTGCACAGCTACACTCTCACTGCGCAGAGACACCGTCACTGCACAGCCACACTCTCACTGCGCAGAGACCCTTCTACTGCACAGAGACACTGTCACTGCACAGCCACACTCTCACTGCACAAAGACACTGTCACTGCACAGCCACACTCTCACTGCACAAAGACACT